TCTAATAGCACATGTACTTCAAGTCAGGTATTTTAAACTTGATCATGATCGGTTCTGAGGTGCAACTTTTTCTTCATATACTGTACGTATCTTGGACCACTCGGAGTGCTGAAGTCTTTAATCATGCTATTTCAGACTGTTGTGATAAAATGTTCTTTCCTTCTCAGAATAAAAAAATTATTAATAAGAATGAACTTTCCTTTTCTTAATGCCATGTAATCCCTTGAAACTATGAACTGTTTTTTATAAAAATACTTCCCTGTTCCAGTGTTCAAATGTGCCTAAAATACAGGTTTAAATTAGCATGATTATGTCAGTGTGTTTTGATTACTGTTTTTCTAAAAAATAGTTGAAAGTCCTGATTCTGTTGGACAAAACATCTGTACAACTAATGTTTGTGTTTGTTTTCATAGCACCAAATTGCAACGAAGGTATTTTAGGGGTGGGTGGGAAATCCGACTTAACCTCAGTTTGTATGCAGGTCTTTTGAACCCTGATTATACACAAGTGTCTGTTTTTAGGATTGCAGTAGATTTATTAATGCCAAAGTAGTTAAGAGCCCTAGTGGTGCAATGGTTGGAATGCAGTATTACAGGCTAACTCTGCCCGCAGCCTGGAGTTCAATCTGATGGGTTTCGAGGTGAATCATCCTTCCAAGGTTTGCAAAACGAGGACCCAGATTGTTGGGGGCAATAAGCTGACATTGTAAACTGGTCAGAAAGTGCTGTAAAGCAACACGAGGTGGTATATAAGTCTAAGTGCTATGTGAACACCTCAGCATATTTTATAATACAGTAAGACACTGGGATGGGAATTCATAAAAATGCCTTCCTGTGAATCCTTTAAATTATAGCCTGAACTTTTAAGGCCTTGTTCGTTTTGTTAATATAATTATATGTATGCTTTTTCTGGTTAAGCCTAGGTCTTTGTTTAAGCATACAGATCTGCATGCGCACACAAACTGTTCAATTAAAGATTTCAAACCAGGTCAGTTATCCAGTCCTTTAACAGGACATCTAACTTGCTCGAAATACACTAGGAATGGCCAATATTCATGGTAACCACCCTTTTAAGGAAACTGGATGTAGGCTATCCTTGCATATTCAAATGCTCTGCTATACATTCATCACAATTTTGTTAATAGTATTTCTCATTTCTGGGAAAATATTTGATCCTATCAACATATGACATGTTAGATATAAACATTAGGGTTTTTTATGCCTGTTTTTAAAAACGGCATCATTGTTGGAACACCTGCAAAAAAGGAGAGCAATGACTGGGGGGCTGGTGGCTTTTGAGGACTTGCCACTTGCTGTTCTTGATAAAATCACCTCTCCAAAATGCTTTAAAGGGGCATTCTCTGGAGAAGCCACATTGTCTCATGGATGCTCAGGTGAGTTGGAGGGGGGATGTCTACTTCTCCTACTGTGATCTCTAGCTTAATTCTGTTGATGGGAGAGGCAATAACATAGGGCAGCATATGGTTAGTGTTATGCTATCTGCAAAGTTCGTTTGGCTTTTCACACACACTCGCTGCTGTACTGCAACTGAAGAGAACATTCTCAAATTGCAAACTGGCCATTCAGGTACACTGTGGTTTAGTTTAATTATGGCTTGGCAAAGCAGTTGGGGTGTTCCTAAGGTGCTAGTGTGAATGAAGACTTTTTGATATGTTGAAGAAGCCATAAACACAAAGGCTGGGCCTCAGCTGTCTATAGGGGGGATGCATAGGCCACGCTTCCCCTGAGACTGCTAGTGAAGCAAAGGGCATGTGCAGAGACAGCTCTTAGAGCTGCTGATCAAGATTGGCAAGGAGCCTGCCTCTTATTTCAGAGAGGGATTTATGAAAAAGCTCTGTTGGAATACTTTGTACAGTGCTTTTCCTAATACATTTGCTGTTTTCTCAAGCTAAATCAAAAGGGACAGAAAAAAGTTTCTGCTTAGGTATTATCAATCCATATTTCATCAGCTTATTAAGAGGGCATTTCCCTCTAAATGTGAGCCAGTCTACATCAAAGTGCCAGTTAAACTGTTGAGTTCCTAATTATAACATCTTTTATGCAGAATCCAACCTGGATGGGTTACCAAGACGAGGTTTTGTCTTGAGCTTTTGGACTCATGCTGGTGATCATCTTCAGGGAAGGGAACTTCCTCTAGCAGAGTGTATCCTTTGGGCTGATCTTTGTGTGTTTATATGGTTCCCGTTGTATGTGGATCTTTTAGATGTTGATCCAATCCAATTAACATCTTAAAAAGCCATATACAACAGGCACCATATAGTTATCACACACAGAAGCCCAAAGCACACACACTGCTAGAGGAATTTCCCTAAAGAGGTGCATGAGTCCCAAAGCTTTGAAGACAGTCTCTGGTCCCAGTGACCAACTCAGATTGGATCCTGCAACATTATCCTGGGCCATGTATGTTTGCCTTTATTCGTAACATCTTTTATATCCAAACTGAAAATGACCTTAGTCCTACTGAACCTCATTTTTGCAATATCTGTTGTGAAAATATAGTCCATTTATATTCTTTATTGCATTTACTCTGTCATAACATTTGACTCATGAGTACCTAGTCTTCAGGAATCTTTACTTTTCTAAATCATTTCATCCACATCCTTAAAACATTTCAGCAAAACAATTCCCCTGCAGAAATCGTGATTCTTCTGAAGCAGGTTTCCTTTTATGTAACTTACAGTTTGGACTGGCATTTTTTTTAATGAATGCATTCAAACAAATATTTTAACCTCTATCTTCTAGTTTTGGAATTGCTATTCCTCCCTGCTATGGTTCCTTTTTTGAAGAGTTAGCAGAACATGAGTTTCTTGGGAGCTGGCCTTATGACCATATGTATATTTTTGATTTTTTTTTAAAAAAAATGTAAACAAAAATTGTTTGCAAGTTTCATAGCTTCTTCTCAAATTGGAACAGAAGGACCATCAGCAAGAGTGGATATGTGGCAATTGTAAGCAAGCTTAATTTACAACAATGTGTAGCATTCTAATCAGACCTGTATTGTCATATAGCATATATTTAATCTTTGCTTCCAATTTTGTTTTTGAACCAATGGAACTTGAACAATACTTATGTATGTTGGTATTTTTCTTGTGCAGCATTATATATGAAACATACCAATTTCATTTCCTTTCTTCAGTCTGTGGGAAAAGATACTTAAGAATCGGATAAGCATATGACTCCTTCCTTTAAAAACAGTAAACATTTGCTTAGCTAATACCTGCTTAAAACAGAGTTGGAACACTGAATACACTGAAGAATGACATGGGGAAAATAATTATTTTCCCTGCTATAATAAGTCCCTAATGAAAACATGGAGTTGCCAAACAGCAACAAGATTGTGTTCTCTTCCAGCACATTCTGCTATGATGAAAGAAGCACATCAAAATTTGAAATGGGGAAAATTCAGATTCTGCTGTCAGACAACAAATACAGTTTAGGGTCGCAGAAGCAAGCAGCAGGGCATATGACTTTGCAGCATAGATAGGTAAACTTCGCATCTACTAATCTACAGAAAATTCATAAATGAAAGAAGTAGGAATGAATAGAAATGTAGGTCTCATTGCTGAGCTGCTTTCTCTTCATTTGGGTGGATAAAAACATTTGGAATTAAGAACAGTTTGAGCTTACAATGAATTAAGTTCAAATCAGGTTGTTGTGAACATTCCAGAAATGCTTTGCACTCAAAACTTTCAAATTTGCCAACAGGTAGTAGTTTGTATCCCAAGAGGATATTTTTTTTCAACTGCTTTCCCTCATTAGTTAACAATTTTCTGCCAGAGAGAGTTGATTCTGATTCTTGATTAGACTGAAGAATCATACAATCCAGAAATGCGAATCAGAAAGACACACAATTAGTAATCTGTCCTTTTGGTTTTTCTGTAGAATTGCATTTATTTAATACAAACATTTTTCATAGGTTCAGTTGGTTATTTCCACATCAGGGTTTTCAATGTGGGCCAGAGAATTTATTGGTGAATCTTAACATTTTTAATTCAATAAAACCATTAGCACATGGCTGTTAAATTTATTTTCTTGATTAACATGTTCTTGACAAACAAAAATTAGCCAATATCAAAATATTTGATGAACATTGATTATAAAAATTTGACAATTTAATAGAAATTAGTATGAATTCAAAACAAAAAGGTTTAAATACTGTCAGAAATATAAAATGTATGTAACAGGCAAAAAAAAAAAAATCTACCTATAACTGTCATTTAACCACCCTCCATAAATTTTCTTTAAGGTTTTAAAAAAGTCGATCTTTAGAATGCATCTCAGTGCCATTTGTACAAACATTAAATCATGGCCAAGGATTCACAACAGTGCAATAGGCAAAACGAAAAACAAAAAAGTCCACCCACCACATAAAAAATAAATATTACAGACAGAAACTAAATAAGCTACAAGCACCCTATAGAGTTCAATTAACATCAACCACTTCAAACTGAATTGGGATTTTAAAATGATGTGACTCTGAAGCCACAATTTATTGTAAGAATTCACTGCTGGCAATGGTAACTAATTAAGCATAAGGCAGCTAAACATTTCCATCACAAATTTATGGGTATGTATTACCTGCTTTTTTGTTTATTGGAATCACCCTCTTTTAAGCACACAAGGGTCACAATACGTTCCCCTATTGCCTTTTAGAAAATGCCAAAAAGAGTTTGGAGATGGACCACCTTCCCTCCATTGCATTGTGCTTGAGAGGCCCACCAAAACACAACACACTTTTCAAATGTGTACCAAAAACTGGTACAAGTTCTACAACAATTATGAAGCCCTTTCTGAATGTAATACTTCTTTCAAACCCACTAAAATGGCTGAGATTATCATTAATCTCAGTTCCAAAATCCTGATGGAGGCTTGCACACTTGTGTTGCACTGTACTTCAAAATGCTCTCAATCCATCAAAGAGTGCAACCAAAATCACCAACTCTTTTTTCTAAATCATGGGATCTTGATAATCAACATTAATTTCTTTATCAAAAGAAAGAAAAAAAGGTCAGCATTATGAAGTTTGCTATAAAACCTACAAAATGCTTCCCTTCTTATTCCTAATTAATTGGCAATTCTAGGAATCAATTTTACATATTACTGCATTGATGGGGTTCAAGAATTCATAGTGGATTTGTGGATATGTGCTTATCAATCTTTTCAGCTTAATTTTACATGTACTTTCTTAAAGCTTTTAAAAAGTCAGATGAAAACATGTTACATAATACTAAAGTTTTGATGATCTTCCACTGTTTTGGGCACATCTATTTTGTAAAGCTCCTTTGTTACTGAAAGGCACAAGTAAGAGTGAATAAAAACAATTATGAGGAATGAGAGCAAAAAAATTACAAAGCAAATAAATGAATGGGACATGGATTAGATCTCCCCATTCTTAACCAACGGCCACTTTTTATACAGTTACTGTACCCCCACACAGAAAAGTACCGACCATTGTGGAACATACTTGCAAACATCTATTTTTCTGTGCTAAGTGTGGCTTCTCTACAAACACTTAACCGACAACTGCACTGATGAGATGTATCAGCCGTAAATAACTTCATAAAAGCCATTTCTATGCTAAGAGCAAGTTCCTTTTCAAGACCAGAGTGGAAATGCTTACCAAACTTTCTTTTAAACCAGACTACCCCTAAATGGCACAGAGAGGGGTCGTGCAGTGTTCTCCCTCTTCTGCTAACCTGTTGGTTTCAGTGCTGGTCAGAGAAACATGGTCATCTGCACATGTGGCCAGAAAGATAACCAAATGGGAGAGAATTTTTTTTTTTGGGGGGGGGGGGGGAGAGAATATGTCCCTCTATTGCAACCTTCTCTACCTGAAATTTCTGGTGGTCAAGAATTACCAGACATATTGGTATATGCCCAGCAGAGTATGTACTTTTTCCTACATCCGTGCAATGAAATATCTCGTATGAAGTAGCCCTTGGACAGATAATGCATGAGAGAATTTGAAAGTCTGCTTCAGAGTGAGTATGTAATCATTCTAAAATGTACCATCATCCCCTCAATTCTCAAAGATCAGCCAAAGCTAATGTCTGACAAGGCTGAGTAACTAGAGAGCTGCCCCCTTCCTGCGATATGTCTCTCTGCTTTATCTTTCCAAGTAACCTGAGCCTGATAGGCAGAAGCCACATATAGGACGGGGACAAAATATCCCCAGAATGTAAAAGAAAAAAATATTTACAGAATGTACAGGCCATAGATTTACAGTAAGTTGCACAGTCCTGGCTTTGCACAGGCAAGAATCCAAATCCAATTAAATTGGAGTTTCTTTTCTGTCCTTGCTTGGAGATGGCTTTACTGACTCTTGGATTGCCTTTGGCTGCTCTTTCATAGCTTTTGTCTCTGGGACACTGTCTCTTGGCAGGGGCGGCTGCTGCTGCAAGGGGCCCCCTCGTTTCTCAAGCTCTTCCTCTTCCTGCACCTGCTGCTCCGTTTTGGCTCGCTGCATCTGCAAGAGGCGAAGCTGTACTCGCAGTTCAATGATGGCCTCGCGCTCCTCGTGAATCGCTTGGTTCAGATGGTTATTCTTAACCTTGATCCAGCAAAAGGGGAAAAAGGGTCACTTCAGCTTTATACACAGCCAGCTACTGATGGAACTAATGAATCATTAATAAGGTACTCCTCACTGCAGCTCTCTCTTGGAAGGGAGACAAGCGTGGTCTCATCAGGCAGAACAAAACAAGAAAGGAGGCCCTTGGAAAATCCAGCCCTAGCAGAAATGAGCAATTTACAATGGCAGATTCAAAGGCAACATAAAATATGCACCTCCTTCCCCCAGCCTGCCTCATAGGTCTTGGGAACTGTTAATTATTTATTCATATGTATTCATTTTTTAAATGCCCTTAGAAATTTTTATTTTCATTTTTATTGGGGGATTTATCACTCCACATAGGTGAAGAGAGATGTGAGTAATAGGATATGAAGTGGTTGCCCAGTACACATCACACCTTAGCCATTAACTCACAAGCGTTCACTGTCGCATCCATGTCAACCCCAAGTTTTACTGAGTTCAGAGGGGTTGACTCTTAAGACTTGTAAAAGCACACCTGCAAACTGCAAAAGCCTAGTTATATCTTTCTTCCTTAGCTTTCTTTTCAGCTATAATAACGAGGCAATAATGTTGATCAGTTTTTCAGGCTGTAGTAAAGACTGCTGAAAAAAAATTAAGCATTCTACAAAGTGGGGGTCCTTGCTTTTCTGTATTATGTATTATGTATCTCTATGTACTGCTTTTGCTGCCAATTTTAAGAAGTTAAATTACAGAGTTTATTTCTGGGCAGCCGTTCAGGTTTTTTGTGACACTTGATCTATTCTAAGAATCAAAGAAAAGAATTATTTCAGTTATATGTTTTAACTGAAACAGGAAACCTTTGTCTGAACAATATTCTGTATTTCATCTAACTGGAAGCGTTTATTAAACAGTAGAGAAGCAACATGGAATGCCTTTATTGGAAAGACAGGAAAACTTTTTCAATGAGAAGGTTAACCAGGAAACCCACAGATATCTGATGAAACTTCCTGCATGGGTAACATGGATCAGTGTTGGCATTTTTTCCCCTTCCACAATGTCCTTTTTTTAAAAAAAAAAGCTTACATGAAAGAAAACGGCAGCATGGAAAACAGGCTGGCACAAATTTAAAAAGATTGTCATACTCATTCAATTATTTTTGTTTTGTTGTTACATTTCATTCCTCAGCAATAGTACTGATTTTAAAATGAGAATTTCAAAGCCAGAATGCTGAGAAATATATATTTGGTTCTTAAATAAAATAATAAACTCCTTGGAAAGTATTGCAGGAGCCAACCTTAGTCTTAGTGGTGAGCTTTTCCATCAAGTATCCGTCCAAATGTCACATTCACATTAACTCATAGCTTTTTTAATTTATAAAATGATTGCATCAGAGCAAACATAATAATGTCTAAATTATGAACAATTGATTTGCTATATTTACATGAAAATAATACAGTTCAGTGCTTTAGTTTCAACTGACCATTTCCCCCATTTTTAAAATGTCATGTTTTACTGTTTGAGTAAATGTAAAAAAATCAGTTTTTACTCAACACTTAAAAACATCATTTCTCTCTTTGTTCTACCACTAGTGCTCATTCAGTTAAAATCTGCTAGCATAACAAAATCCCATAATTTTTCCTATTATTTTCTCTCTCTCTTTTTAAATTATCCACAATGGTTTGATCCTGAAAACTGTTGATGCTACTTTGCATTTAACAGTCCGCTTACAGAAGCAACTGCTAATCAAACTTGTTTCGCACCCTGATACAAGTGTTTCTGCCCTGCAAATCTACAGATAGAGGGAGAGGCAGGAAGATAATCCCACATCTTCACATATAAGATTGAATGGAATCCATTGAAGATTTCTTAACTCAAACTATTTATTCATAATATTTTAACAAAAATAAATCTTGCCTGCTTAATAAACAGTGTAATGTTAACCTAAGTATTATACATTCCTTCAACATTGTTTCTAATTCTTTCATTTCCAATTCCTAAGGATTTAAATTAACTAGAAAAGGATACGCAGAAGTGACGAGAACAATGCAAATTGTATATAAGACTACTTAGTCTTAAATTAGGGAATTCAGCAGACTGTACTCCAAAGTAATGAGTAAAAAATTTCACCAGAAATTTTTGCTTCTATACTGCACACAGAGAACCAACATTCAGTGGTAGAGCACATATTTGGCATGCATAAGGTCCCTGATCGGGTCCATATTATCTCCAGGTAAACTTGGGAAAGTTCCATCTAACCAAGCTTAGTATCATAATACAGAGCTAGGTCTGGTCAGGATAGATGAATGGCCTGCCTTGATATATCAAGAGAGAATATTATGTTCCACACACTGGCCACAGAACAATACATTTGAAAATTTACCAAAAAACTCATCTAATCCAACCCACTGACAAAGTGGGAAAGGTGCTGTTACAGCATCTGGTAATGACCTCTAACTAAAGGAGGATCTGCTACTTTCTAAGCTATGCTATTCCATAGGTAAGTAACTTAATTTTACAAAATTCTTCATATTTAGTTGAATTTTTCTCTTTTGTCATATGTTGCATCATATATTTCCATGCCTGAATAAAGAACTCAGTGAATATCTACTGCACAGAAAGCATCTCACCTCTAGTTCTTCATTCTGCCGTTGCAAATCTTCTAAGATAATCTGTAACTCTTCTTCATCTTCACTCTCACTCTCACTTTCAGAAGAATATTCTTCGGTTTCACTGCGACCATGCTGACGACTAGATGTGCAAGTATAAATTTTGTAACAACTATCCTTTTTAGCTTGGTTTGCTATACATTTTTCAAGCACATTCATTCACACACAATGAATATACTCCAAAACACAATTTAATGAATATAAATGCTCATGGAGAAGAATTACAAAGTGGCATAAAAAATTATTACAAAAGTAGATTTAGAAAGGTTTAATTGTGATGGAAGAAAGGAAAGGAAAATTTTACTTTATTGTCACTGCACCTCTTACAACGAAATTAAATGCCATCTTCAGTGTACATTATAACTATAAAAATAAAACACAAACACACATCCTTCACATTCTATACAACTGAATTGAAACCCCCTGATATTGCATTAATATTGCACTGTACAGTAGAATTCAATATAGTTACTGCTCTGGAAGCTGTTTTTCAGCCTATTGTAATTGTTCCGGTGAAAGAATGTTTAAAATACTATTTAAATTCAGTAAGTTTAGCATCACAGAATTTTGGCTGGAAAGGACCATGGAGATCACTTAGACTGAGCCCTGGTTCCTTTCAGGATCCATAATATGCTACTGTAATAACTTTAACCAACTGGATATCCTCCAGATGTTATTGGTGCTACTACGACTCTTAGAACTTCCACACAAAAGGACCTTGGCCTCAGGCTTGTAATCCCAATATATGTGAAAGGTACCAAGACGGAAAAGGCTATGCTGCAACATTCCCTAAAAAATAACTTTCCAGGTTTGGTTTTAGTCCGTTTCAAGAAAAGAGAATCCACCACTTCCTTAGACAGTCACTACCAGCCAGAGCCTGCTCTGTAAGGAATTTTCTAGCAGTCACTACCAGCCAGAGCCTGCTCTGTAAGGAATTTTCTTCTAATGTTTAACTAGCTGACTTGCAATTTCCACCCACCGGTTAATTCTCAAACAGAAACTGGGTTACCTTTGAATTTCTGCTATTTCTGCTCGGAGACGATCAATTTCCTCTTTTTCAGATGCAATTTGTCGACGTAAAAACTGTTCCATTGTTAGCAGTTCTTCCTGTTCTGTCAAAATCTCATTCTCCTATCAAATGTAATTACATTATATGAGCAATTTTACTGAAATGATAAACCAATCTTGATTCAGGACATTTTTTTCTTGGCAATAGTCATAAAACCTAGCTTCTTATGTAGCTAAGTAGAAAATATGCAATAAAGAAGATTGGGTTGTTCTGGAGGGATGAAGGAAAATACAATGCCCACTATACATATAATACCCTCATCTGCTTCCCAATATATTTTTCTAGAGTGAGACATTTATTGCAACAGATTGTACAAAAACAGCTCTTTTTTCTAGTTGTTACACACTGCACGAAACTATAATACAGGGTCTCTTCTTGTGTAGTTTTATTTTCATTTCCTAAATATCTCTTGGCAGCTCTCAAACTATGAAAAATTGAAGCACATAGGAATCCTAAATGAGGAAGTTTGTGACATTGTGATAATGGTTTGTGACCCATTACATCTGGAAAACCTGGGAAGGAATTGCGGCTGTTTGCTGCAGCATTGCAGGGACTGGGTTTGGAAAGCAGGAAGAACAGGAGGTTAAGGAAAACAGAAAAATAGGAGGCACTTCTATTGCAGGGTGGTGAAGAACTAGCAGGGATGGTGAGATGCTATTCCATAAGGAGTTCAATCAGTGCAACCAATTTATTATTTCAAAAGGTCTTGAAATTCTGAATTCACAATTGTTCAGATTTACATACAAGAATCAGCTTTTTCACTTATAAGTCAGCGGTAAAACACAAATGCTGTTACTGATTTCAACACTGATTCCCAGAGATTCCAGATCAGCTACTTTCTGTGTCAACCACAAAAACTTCATCAAGTCCCTCGGGACACTTAGAATTTGCATTATACTTGATAGCTATCTGTCACTTCACTCACAAACACACACACAGAGTCTGTAAGAAGAAATTATCTTTTTCGGTCAATTCTCCTCAATTTATTTTCCAGTGTGTAGGTTAAACATTAAGAATAAAAATACTTTAAAGAAAGTATTTGTTTACCTGAGCCAGCAAAATATTTATAACTTCTTCATTTTCATTCATTTCTTCTTTGGAAACATCCTCCTTTGAAAGACTAGCAATTTCTCGGGCAATCTTTGTTTCACATTCCTGTATTGAAAAAAATCTTGACTAATGACTCGATTCAAAGGGTCATACGTTAACATGCAAGAATATTTAAACTGCAGCTTCTGCAGGGTTTTTACCTACAACAACATTGGAAAACTACCTATGTTAGCTCACGTTTCCTAAAGCAGCATTTGCAGATCAAATTAATCACTCATTTTGATAAGGCAGATGGTGGTCGAATGAGAAAAGCACAAACTTACTTGTCTTTTAGCTTCTCTTAGCTTCCTTTTCAGAGCTGTCAAAATCCTCTGCACTTCCCATAACCTTTCTTCTTTGGATAAATCTTTAATCCCTACCTGAAGATCTCGGTGCAAACAATTCAAGAGAAACTCCTAATTTTAAAAAAAACAAGCACATTATTAAAGTCTTAGATACCATTATTGTGACAGCAACCCGATTCCTAAGTGGACACACATGATTGTGATTGTGCTCACATCAGCTTTCCCTTTCCCCCAACTCCCTTTGGAATGTTCACTATGGCGCTGGTGATTGCAAGAAGGGAGTTAAAGTTTTATTTACATTCACTGGAGAGAAATTATTATAAGTAGGCACACAATACAATCAAATGGAATGCACTAGCACCTATCACATTCAGGGGCTGTGAGCACACTAGGTAAATAGCCAGTTCTAGCACATTCCTGCTAATTGTGCCTGCTTACTCTCTTATAATCCTTTCCTGTCCAACCTCTCCACTCTGTGAGGGGAGAAAAAAAACAATAAATAAATAAAAACGGGTAGGCAGAGGATGTGTACTAACCAATTGTAATGGCAACACATGATTGTGAAGTTTGTAAAAATACATGCCTGGATCATGAAATTGTTTTTCTTATCACTACTGTAACTATGAACAGCCATTGTACAAGGCAGATGATAAGTGAGTTCTAACTATTTTTCCACAAATGGAATATGTCAATTTAAGTTAGCAAGTCAAATTTCCTGAAGATCATTTTCTGTCTACTACTGGAGGTACTAAGTTAGTTCATATATATCATATTTTAATTAGACCCGAAATCTGAAAATTAGGCCATTTGTTGCAACGTTGTGAGATTTGATCTCAATTTACAAAATAATAAAAAATTGAAAAAAATTAAGATACTCCACGCAGAAGAGAGAATTAAATCTTAAATGAGGACAGTATGTAAGAGAAAATTATATATTTAAGCCTTAATTTAAAATATCCAGGCTACTTAAAGTGTAAGTGTAAGCTCTTCAATTAAATCTAAAAGCTGGGAGTTTTTTTTTCTCCTTCACCATCATACAATAAATCTAGCACTTTGCTCAATTAAAAGGGCCATAAATCAGTGATAAAAAGATTGGAAATAATTCCCTCAATCAAACTTTTAGAAAGTTCTAATCATTCAAATATGACCAACCTGTCTTCGGATCTCTTCTTTAATGCTGTCCTGTGTTTCTGGCAATGCTGGCATGGTTGCCATGTTAGACCAACGAAGAGGCTTTGTTACTGGCTTGAGGACCACATTTCCAAAGAATTCTTGTACGTGAGTGAAAAACACATAAAGGACACGGTTGCTGATCTGAGAAGAGACAGTTAGAAGTATTGCCATTCACTGAGTAGACTCTTGTAAAATAATAAAACATTCCTTCCTAAACACACTTATGGTATTATGTTTTCAAGTTGTCAAGATGGGGAAACATTGCGTTAGTTGATTAAAGCAACTGGATCTTTTGCAAGGCTTTAGAAATGCTTAGGAAGCTGCCCTGCACCACAGCCATATGGCGAGTCCCAGCAGAAATGGCTGTGTGCACACAACTATGCCCCCAAAACAACAGGAGACAGCTGCTAAAACTGTGTGAGCCTTATAAAGAACTTGACCTATCTGTGTGAATAACATTAATAGTTTTTTCTAAGTGCACCTGTCCTCAACACATTTTCCCATTTTGTAATGGAGAATGACGTGAAATGTCCATGTCAGGGGTTGCCAACCTTTTGGACTTCAGGGACCACCAAACTCATAATTTTAAATCCCAGGGACCACTAACCGGTTCTGTGGGTGTGGCCTAATTTGTGGGTGTGGCTTGGTGGTCATGTGACTGGCTGGTCATGGCTTGTATGTAAATATTATAAATATTTATATAAATATTGAATTTTTTATTAAAAAAGAGCAACTTTTACCCAAAATCAGGCAAAGCAGGCAGGCAGATTGAGTTGCTCACAGAATCACATATTCATTCAGAAATCTATCTGCCATTGGTTAGCTCAGTCTGTCACATAAAATTTGTTTGCGAGCAAACTCATACAATTTTCTAGCGAGCAAACTCACAAAATTAACTCACAACATAATGAATTTTTTTATAAAAAAAAGAGTAACTTTTACCCAAAATCAGGCAAAGCAGGCAGGCAGATTGAGTTGCTCACAGAATCATTCAGCGATCTATCTATCTGCCATCAGCTAGCTCAGTCTCTCAAAATTACTTGCCGTGAGTCTGCACTGAATAATTAAGGGAGGTTCAGCTGTGCTTAAAAGCAGAGCCAAAGATTTAAAGACTAGCTAGAAATTAAGAAATCCAATCATTTCCTGCTTCCTAGCTAATCTAAATTTCCCAGCACAGCAGAACAGCTGATGGTCGGAAAAAGGAAAAATAGCAATTTAGCAGGCAAGTTTACCGGGTAAGGAGTGAGTGGGCGGGGAGGGTTCCCTCAGGCCATGTGGGCGGCGCAGCCTTGTGTTTCTGGCACAGCCTGGATTAATTGCTTTGGGAGGGTGCTCTGGGGGTGATATTTCTCTGCGGCCCACCAAAATAGGGCCGTGGCCCACTGGTTGGTGATCACTGGTCCATGTGATATGGGACATGGTCTGTGATATGATCAAAGATGAGACTGAATGATTGTCCTCTGCACGGCAGCCCTTACTAATTTGGAGCAGCAATCTTTTCAACACTCCTGCTTTGTTGGATATATCCCGAGTATCAGTTGAGAAAAACTGCTATAGTCTTCTTAAGAGTACCATGCAAACACCATGCCAGTCTCAAAAAGCAGAAGGACAGAGTCAGAAGGGACTTTGGAAGCCTTCTTATTCAACCACTTGCTCAAGCAAGAGACCCTATACTTCTATCCAGCCAAACAGGATTTCTGTTTCTACTTTTGCTTCTTTGTAGCTTGCCTTGCCACCCATTTTTTTAAAAAACCACCCACTTAATAACATTAACTATGATTAACCTGACTGAACCAGGTTCAAATGATTGTTTGTAAATCTGGATTCAAACTAAATCTGGTTAAGAGCAATCACATTTCAGGTTGGCAAACTGATTCAGTCATTGCAAAATCTTCTGTTTACTTTTTTAATGTAACCTTGCTTTAAAAGTCTAGAAATATTGTATTATGTATTTATAAATTAACATGGCAATTGCATTAAATACGTATTTTAACTCTTTTCCCACCATAAAATACTTCAATGATCCTCAGCTATGTTCTATCACTTCTCAGCTGTCTTAAAATGTAACAATATTGGCTATAAAGATGCTAAAAATATCTACTGCGTGGTATTTAACTCTTAACCACTTTTTAATGTTGCTATGTTTAATAGCTGGAAAATGTCCAAATTCCAAAAAGGCCTGAATTCAGTTTCATAATACTGAAACTCTAGTCAAATAACCAGAGTGAAGAGCATATGAATGAACATGTTGCACTCATTTAAGGTGACCCTGTTAAAAACAAAGGTGGAGTAGAGTGTAAGTGCTGAATAAAGGTATGAGCAATTTAACTAATCTTTATGCGTAGGAGACCTCACCAATAATGAGTCATATCAAAGAAATACAACACCTAGAGTCCACTCTGATCTAATTATAAGTTATATTGAGCATAATGGAACATATTTGAACAAATATCATTCAAATTACTTCATTTTTTTGTCATAATTTTAAAACTATTGACAATAATTGCAAAAACACTTAGAATTGATTTCACGATTTCACTTAGAAGATACTGTAGAGATTCCATTGATTGGTCTGGTAACATTTAGTAATAAGTAGTAAAACTACAAGTTGCAGTTCCTGCAACTTCCCACTCAGGCAAGGACTTGTGACTATTTTAATATTTTAATGTGTTTAAGTTTTATAACTTTAATATGTTTTTGTATGTTGCTTTAACTTGTGATTGGGAACCACCCAGAGATGGTTATAAGATGAGTAGTTATATAAATGTTTTAATTAAGTAATAAATTTAACATAAGAATAGGAACTGTTTAGCTGCAATCCTACAGTAAAACATCAACACGCACATCTGCATTATATTGTGGATGCTCCTTTTGTTGGTTCATTCAGAGTTCCTCTTTAATTCAAATGTTTTGAATTACTCTTATTTGAATCTCTGGATTTCAGGGATAAATTTGAATATTATTACCACAATTGTTACCAATTGTTATACAAAACAACTTCCTTGTTTTTCTTTACTGCATCCAGATTACAAGTAGTTTGTTAAAATCTGTGGATATCTTTATATCTAAATACAGGATCTTAATAAAAATAATAAAAATATACTCTCTTTATCCTCAACAATCTATAAATTCTATTTTTATATATAATTTTATTAGAGATTTGAATACAGATAAAAGATCAACAGAAAAAAATAGAAAAAAGAAAAAGTGCAGGAAAATAAGAGAGAGAAAAAAATAAATAAGTATCTTCCAACAGTTACAAACAAATGTATTAGCTCTCCTCACCCTTTAAGATTACATGATTTCCTTCTTCCCAAATAAAATCCTTTTTAATTGGCAAATCCATAGGACACCTTCTCTTCAAATTCTTGGATAGAGAAATATGTACCAACTTTTATATTAATGTATTCCTTCATGCTAATTTAAGCGCAGGTAAGATGCGAAATGCCTGCCACCAAACTAAACTTTCAATTGTTATACAATTTAATCTTATCTATCTTAAATGAAGTACTCATTCAAGATAGAAGGACTAAAATATATGAATTCAATTAATAGTTTGTTTCACTAAACCATATAAAAGTTGCCATACACTTAGGCACTCTATATGGCATTTTGTTTGTACTAATCACCTAATATACATAATGCATCTAACTCATTAAAAACTGATGTAATTAAGTTTTAATCTTCTGCTTTTGAATACTATATCCAATATGGATTTGGTGCTAAAGATATCTAAGCACACTCCAAAATGACTTAAGCTGGGATTTCTGGTGGCATATGAAAAGCAGAGACTTCTATATCTTCAATCCACAGCACAAATTCGGAATCAAGTGCCAACTGAAAGTCCATTTTAATTATGAGTTAATTATTTAGCAATGTCTTGCCAGATGTCTTAACAGTAACACCCCTGTATGGCCTCATGTTTCAAAAAATATATAAATAAGAGAAAGTAGTTACCTTATAGTTCCAACCAAACCAGCTGCAAGATACCAATCACAATGTTCCTGATATCAAAGTTTTCTTAAAATGTTAAAAAATATTTTGTATCCATAAGGTAAGGGCCATATTAAATTCTAAGAACTGAGAACTGGAAGCATAGAATAAATTCAGCTTTGTGAAGCAGAAGTCCTCTAAAAATCTGAAGTCCCTGCAAGATCATCTGTGGCTTAGCACACTTGGTAAGTTCCATTTGAAGCATGCGCTCTGTAAGTATATTTCTGTTTTGGACAGTAGCACACCTTTTCTCTACAGAGTAAATATACATAACCCCATGCAATACGTCATAAGGTGACTTCCAGAAATATATTTGAAAATAGTTTTAAATAACAGCTGGCTAGCACACATACCTGGACAGTTGGACTGAGCACAATAGAAATGTTTTGGATATTCATTTTTGTTTCTAGCTCCTTTGCAATGACATGGTCCATATGCACAATCAGCCAAGAAATCAAGAGAAAGTTACATTCTGGTAGCTCTTTCAGGAGGCGCTGGCATTCCTGCCTTTTCTCGGACTCCAAGCTCTTCCCACAAGCATCTTCAAAGCAAGGCATCAGCTCTTTGGTAAGCAGGTTTTCAGGAAGTTCACGCAGGTATTGTTTCAACAAGCTAGCTACTGTGTTGGGCTCATAGTCCTCTAGGTTAGGAGACTCTTCTCGGTCATATGCTGCTTTTAACTCATCCACCTTTGATTTAATTCCTTAAAAATATTTAGAATGATTTTTAAATCCTTTGAGAATAAAAAAGAATTATAGTTCAATATTTTTCTGTCATCTCAATCTACGGTATCACTTGTTCATTTCACTTTTTATCTGAGAACTCCAAAGGATTCACACGGTGCTCCCTCTAATGTTCTCATAGGAACAATCTATGAGATAGGCTAAAGTGAGAGAGAATGACTGAACCGGAATCTTTTCCTAAGAAAAATGGTTAGAGGGGAATTTGAACCTAGCTATTTCAGCAGCAATTCTATCCATAAAAGATAGCACAAAACTGTGATTCCCCTTTAAATGGCCCAAAACCCTAAATCCTACCAAAATTCAGAGAAACACACTCCGTAATACCACTTGGCTTACAGGATTCTCTCTTTAGCTGCTATTTAAAGATCTTCTAGTCCTCCTGAACAATACTCCTATCCTATTTTCCATCCTATCTTTCTTCTGGAGATAACCCAATTCCTGGGGGCAAATCACATATAACAATGATATACCAGGACTGTGAGTGGAGGGCAAATAAAAAAAGTGGAATGGAAGAAAGACCTCTCATTGACAAAAAAAGGCAGGAGGAAAATAGAGAGAGACAGGATGATAATTTGTTGGAATTTCAGAGTTCTCTCCATTCCTTTAAATTAGAAACTACGCTAGAATATTCTCTGCACATATCAGTTGCCGGTCTCTTTTTCCTCTATGACCTGTATAATAATATGGGCGGCTAGCAGAGAGGGAGGGATCAGATCACTTTAATCCTTTTCAAAGGTTCTAGAGCAGGGGTGTCCAACCTTGGCAACTTTAAGACTTGTGGACTTCAACTCCCAGAATTCCTCAGCCAGC